AATATATATTTACATTATTATTTTTAAAATGTGATAAAAAGTAATATTCTATAATGACTAAGTGATTTTGGTTTTAGATTACATCCTGTATTGTTGTTATATTTTTAAGGTACGTGGAAAAGTTATAAAAGCTTTTGGATGTATAGCCTTTTTTTTTTATGTGATTAATTATGTATTTTATAACTATAATGAACTCAAGTCAATCATTATTAGTAAATTTAACAATTTAATATACATTTAAATTAAAAAAAAAATATATATTAATTATAATTGTAAATATTATAATGTTTCTTTGAAACTTAATACTTTGTAAGCTACTTCTGTAATACGATTTTAATTTATAGTATAACTAAATGTGTTTATATTTAATAAACAGTGGATAAAATTCCTATATGCTATTGTTAAGTAAAAGTTACTGTCGATTAAGTATAATATAAATTATATTATATACAATTAATCAGATTTATTAACGAATACAGTTTTAGATAGTTTTACTAAATACTAATATGAATTGATTCAATTTGTTAACATGAGTAATTTTTTTATAGCTTATCAATTTTATATAAACATTCCACCCTCATTGATACCATTCCGTAATATCAAAAGTGCTATAATTCTAGTGTGAACATTTGATGATAATACTAGATTTACTCCGGTCTTTAGTTATTGTCGACTTAAATATTGATATCGATATTTTTATACGGTGGAAGTTTTTTGTACATGCTGGTTTTGTTAATGCTTTAATTAATTAATTAAATTTAATTAATAATTAATAATATTTAATATTTATAATAATATTTATTTAATAATTATGTTTTTGATATAACATTCCAGAGAAGATAGTTTAGTATTTAATTTACCTTTTTCAATCGATATTTTCCTATACAACCAGCATTAATGTATTACCATTGTAATTTTGTAAAATCGTTTTTATTTCGTGTATTACTAACTGGATTTCTAAATATGGCTGATATTAATATGGGTTGTTTTAAGTGTTTGGTTTATTTTAAGCTATCATGCAAAGAAATTAAAAATTACAATTGTAATTTTGAGGTAGAAAAATTGTTAGAAACTTGATAAATAAAATAAAATTTGTGTTGAATATGTTCAGCTGTATAATAATTTATGGTTATTTCAAAGAAAATTTAAAAAACTAACATATACTTTAGGGTTTTGAACTGTGTTAAATATTATATCTGTTTGAATTTTAATTTTGCTATAGCTTACCGATGCTAATTTTGAATAGAGTATAAGTATTTATTTTAGAATAACTAATTTTAGTTTATATTTTAAACGGTGTATCATCATGAAAATAGTTAAATCAATTTATAGTCTGGAATCTAGAAACACAATTTAACATGGAAAGTAAGTCTTTTGTCGTTTATGTTGTACTAAATTAAATACATTTTAGTCGTTGTTTACTGCTGCAATTGAATTATTTTTGTCTAATGTTCCAATAATAATAATAAAAGGACATTGGTATATCTTGATTATTCGCTATACATTTATTTACTGGTATTTAATTGTTTTATACAATACCAGTATACGTGTACATGGTTTACAGATACTCTATACTATTATGATACACATGTATTGTGCACTGTCTGTTTACTTGTAAGTGTTCAATGAATTTTCAGTTTAACAGTTTTGGAATTATAAATAGGTACGCGATTTTGATGCGCACGTTCTCTACGACATTGTTGTAATGCATATCGAGAAAATCTACTTTTGCAAATCAATCGGCCGATAATTGTCATATATTATTAGCCAGGCGCCTATACAAAGTAGAAGGTTATTAAAAGTTTATCCCCTCCACTGAAATTTAAAGTATAGGTGTATTCGTATTTTTATCTTAACAATCAGGTAGTTTCAACCCATGTTAATTATTTGATTTGATTTGAAAACGTAATTAAATCAAATTGTCCGTTGTTATTTGTCAAAAGTTAAGATACTTCTTTTTACCAAAGCTATTGAAAAATCTTGAAATCCTTTCCAAAATAAATTAATTTTTCTGTGTACGCACCTGCATGTTACCTGTGTGTATTTGAAAGATAATTATATAAAGTTCAAATTGTGTTAGAATTGTTGTCGATATTGAACAGTTTCCATGACTGTTAGAATATGATGTAGTCAAATTTCTTGAGATGTTTGACAAAATAACCCTTCCATGTTGATAGATAACTAATAATAGTTTAAATGTAAATAGTTATTTGATGATAAAATGATTTTTAACCAATTTTTGTAGAGGCTAATTTTATACGAAAGGTTATTTTTTTGTTATGACTTTTATATTATCATTTGAGCATAAAGGGTTTAAGATTATTTTTATTTTTTCATTTTAGATATTTATGTATAGTGATTTTATTTATAATTTAATTGTATTTATCAAATGTCCGCATAGTTTTAAAATCATTGTTTATATTGATGCGACTGAATATTGATTATTGACTGTAAAAATGTTCACTACAAGAACATTAATAATAAAAAATTGTTTCGAAGAAAGATGTTCCTTCGAGTAAGTGTCAGTTGATAAATACGTTATACTCATGCAAAACTATTGATTATTTATTATTTTGTGGATTTTTTTTCTATAGTTATGAAAAATATAAAATTACACTTCTCGAATAATTTGAAAACCTTACACATAATAACAATAATAATTTTTACGACATAATTGAGAAATATCGATTCAGGTAATTCTAATAAAATAATGTTATTATAAAATTTGTATGGCTTAAAAATAATTAAATATTGCTAAATTAAAAAAATAAATAAATAAAAATCTCTTAATGAGTTAAGTATCTAATGATATGTATTAATCATACATTTTCCTAGGAAATTCATTAGTACACATTTTGAAATGGTTGGTACAAATTATGGTAAAATTAATGACATAAAAAAGCGAAAAAGGGGAAACATATCTTAAATGTACCTGTATTGTGTATTATCTATTTTAGTGATCTCAAACTTAAATAATGAAAACTATAAATTTTAATCGTATAAATATTCGGTGTGTTTAATTATGTTATGATGAGACATGTATAATCAGTTGTTCATCTGTACATTAAAGTATATAAGATAAAATTTTGATTTATAATATTTTGACAGAATACTTTAATTATATAATTTTGTAATTTTTATATGATATACAACTTTGAATAACGATTGTTATGATACAGTGAGGATCTTGTTCTGTAAATGAGTTTTGGTTGATAAAATTTTCTAATAATTATGAAAATTGGGTTTTATGTGTAGAATAGAGTGTAGTATTGGATTACAAATGTTCGAGAGAAATCAACCTAACATTACACTCTTTTCTAAATTTTTATATTATACTGCTTAAAATATAATTTACTTTTGAATGGTTTGATTTTATAAGGAGATAAATTGATTGTTGTAAAAAAGCTTGTTGATTTAGAATAGCTTAAAAATTCGTTAGATCATTGTTTGTAGTTATTCTTTTGAGAATTCTAAAACTAATGGTTATGGTAAAAAATTATGAAGGGATTTAATTTTATTTAATAGGGTTTGTATTTCATGAGTACCTAACCTTGAATGTATTCTAAGCAATATAACGTGAGAAATTGTTTATTCAAAAGTGTATTATATAAACTATTTATTTATTAATTTATATATCAATTTACGAGTATTAATCATTTACTTATGATTGAATTTTTATTTAATTTTTATTATTTCAAAAATAAAATTTATTTTATGCAAGGTTTGTGTTTTGATTATATTAAGGATATATATGAATTTATATAAACCAATTTCTACCATTTTATTTGATCACAAATGATGTGTAGTAAAACATTGTATATTTTGAGTTCATTGGAATTGAACAATTTGAATGGTTTAATACTAATGTAACTAAACAATGCCTTGTACTGTAAAATTTTTAACTGTAAAATAATATCAATATTTTGCAAAAATTACAAAAACTATAAAATCAATGTTTTGTGTGATGTTAAATAATAGTTCTAATTAATAAATCACCATCATATTAATATTATTTAAGTAACTCTGTTCAGTCCTGTTACATATTAACAATAAGGCGCAGTTGGTAACACTTCCACCTGTCCTAGCGTGGACGAATTGGTAACGCGCATGGTGAACGTATATGTTTTTTCCTTCTTCGCCGCCAGCACGGGAGTGCAAAACACGCTCTGAACTGCGTTTTATTATTCACTTATTCGTATGTTTTGTTTTGTTGTTGTATTCCGGCTGTACGTGCGCCTTCATCGCCATTTTTCTATCGCCTTCGGATTTGTACATGTGATGCGTGCGCCTTCGTCGCCGTTAATTAAATGCGCCTTCGTTGTTCATTGTGCTATAATACGACGCCTTCGTCGTCGTAAACGTGATACGTGCGCCTTCGTCGTCGTTCAATAAGTGAGCCTTTGCCGCCATTTTAATAAGTGCACCTTCACCGTATTTTGTTGAAACTATATGATGCCCATCATCATTTTACTTGTGTGATACTTAATTTAGTGTGGACGTGGACCATTGCGGTTACCAGTCACCGCGGCGCCGTCTGGAGACAAGTCAACCTTTTAATTATCTTTATAAAAACAAAATATATTTGTTCTGTGCGCCCATTGGGGACATTTACTTTGTATATTATACGTTGCTCCCCCCCCCCCTTTTGCCTTTAGTTCATAAGCTTATTCAATGTTTATTTAATTTGACCAAATAAGACTTTGTATTTTGATAAACCAATTGTTGATCATTTTTATTATATCTCTCCTCCTTCATCCTTTGGTTTTCCATTTATACGTGTAGCAATCGACCGAATCCTGTCATTGCGATAAGTTCTCGTAAGATACATTTGTGAGAATTTCGCGCGCACATTTTTGGTCCTTCGAGCCGGATATTTACCGAAATAATATATTTGGAAAATGGGTAAGCCAAAGACAGGCTAAGATACAGCTAAAAAGGAGCTAACGTGCGCGCGTGCTGTGCATGATGAAACTGTCAAGTCTATCCATAGCATACATTCGATGGCTGTCAAAGTCAACAATAATGATGCGTTGATTGAAGATTTGGCAGTTCGCATGGATAAATTAGAAACTTTATTCAAATTATTTCAAGAACAACAAAATATGATTTTGGATGTCCTAATAGAACTCAATATCGTCGATGAATTTTCCGTTGATTCAGACGTAACAATCTCCACAGAAGAATTGTACTACAACACCTATGCTATAGCCGCTAAATTACACAGTGTTAAACCAATGAATAGTTCTGTGTTAAACGCCCTGCATATATCGACTTCCGTGTCTTCCGTTTTAGCATTACCTAAAATCGATTTGCCTAAATATGATGGTAACTTAATTCAATGGAGACCTTTCCGTGATAAGTTTGTATCTTTAATACGCCGAAATGACAATCTAAGTAAAATTGACCAATTTCATTACCCATTATCTTGTCTATCTGGTCCGGCATTGTTTTGTATCAGTTCATTACCTCTCACCGACAGTAATTATGATATTGCCTAGCAGACATTAATGAATCGTTCAAGGATCTTCCAATACAAAAACGACAGGATACGGCGTTGTCAATAAAATTGTGTTTTTCATGTTTGAGTCCTTCACACACGGCAAAAGCATGTAAATCTAAATGATCATGTTCAATATGTAAAAAACGACACCATTCTCTACTTCATCACGATTCCATTTCGTCATGTGTTGTACAAGAAAACAATCCTATTCAAAGGACATCACAAGATAACATTACTAAATTATCTGGGCTGTTATGTGCCACTTCCACGGTCATTTTGGGAACCGCCATAGTTTGTATGCGTGACAGCCGTGGTAATTATCAAACCGTTCGTGTATGTTTAGATAGCGGATCACAAGTATCAGCCTTCAACATGCGACGTGCATCAAAGCTAAGCCTTCCCAGACGCAGATGTCAAATAGGCATAGTTGGTTTATCAAACAAATCAATTGATAACGTAAAAGGGATTACCAGTTGTCACTTTGTACCATGGCAATAGCATGAACCGTTGTTCTGTAGTTCTGACATCATTATTTTACCTTAGATTACCACTAACATGTCTTCTGTGCCATTAGCACCTTGTGTTCGTCAGTCTTACGGTCATCTATCATTGGCTGACCCTTCATTTGATGTTCCCTCATCTATATATATATGCTCATTGGTGGAGGTTTGCTTCCTCACATAATGAAGCCCCGAGCTGACATTTTATAACGTCGTCAAGGTTTGCCGTCAGCGGTGGATTCTTTCTTGGGATGGGTTGTTTTCGGACTCCTTGATGAATAGAATGCGTTTTATGCTTACTTGTTGTCAGTGACGTCATCTTCCTTAAATGACATGATTCGATCTTTCTGGCCAGTTGAAGAAATTACACAACCGAAAAGTCCCACCACTGAAGACCACCAATGTGAGAAATGGTTTTCATAAACGACAACGCGTGATGAACATGGCAGGTTCTGTGTTGCACTTCCATTTACAGATACGGTATTGTTTTCGCAAAACCATTCGAAATTCAGGAAGAATCAATCCCAATTCCCATCCAGTATGTTTTTGCAAAATTATGGCCTAGGTGAGTCTTGCTCACTCGTGCAAAAACGCTTATTTAATCTTGAAAGCCGTTTAAATAAAGATCCAGCATTATACGCCGAATATCAGCAATTTATGAAGAAATACTCTAGGTCATAGGAAATGAGCGATTCAGGCTGGAAAATATTTCATCCCGCACCATGCTGTCGTGAAACGTGACGGTTACAAGATCGAAAAGTTGCATGTTGTGTTCCATGCATCTGCTTCTACATCGCCGGGTTTATCGCTAAATGACGCCCTTATAGCTGGTCCCAAGTTGCAGATTGATATTTTTGATATTCTTGTAAGGAGTAGGCTAAAACGTTACCTCTTAACCGCAGACATAACTAAAATGTATCGACAAATTTTTTTAAAACCCAATGATTGTGCGTACCAACATATATTATGGCGTGAATCTTCTGAGGAAGAAGTGATCGAATATGAATTTCGTACTGCCACTTATGGCGTTACTTCTGCTCCATATTTGGCTATCCGATGTTTGCATAAACTAGATGCTCAGGCTGGTTCAAAATTCCCAGCCGCGAAAAATATTCTCACTCGCAAAACGTAGATACAGAAGTGGAGTTATCTATCATTCAACGAGACATCATCGGCTTATTGATTTGTCGTAGATGCACTTTAAAAAAGTGGACAAGCAACTGCCCGGTTATCTTGAAGAACGTCGACACTAATGATCAAGCAAAATTATTGTCATTGGATCCCAAAGGTGAGGCCTCTGTGAAGTTTTTAGGCCTTCATTGGGACCCATCATCAGATCATTTTACTTACCACACATGTCTTCGCCCGGGTCAATATACCAAACGAAAAGTGCTTTCAATTACCGCTAGACTATTTGATCCATTTGGTTTTTTAGGACCCACACTGTTATGGGCCAAGATTTTTATGCAAGAATTATGGAAACTGGGTCTGCATTGGGATACTCCACTTCCAACACATCTTCACTGTAGTTGGTATCAATTTGTAAGAGAACTACCAGCACTCGATTCAATTATTCTTCCTCGACATATTGATATCCGTTCGCATACGGAAATTCAACTAATAGGATTCTCTGATGCATCATCAAATGGTTATGCTGCTAATGTATACTTACGAGTAATAAGCACTTTAAATTCTATCAACGTTTATTTTGTTACTTGCAAGACAAAGGTCGCATCATTAAAGGCTGCTGACCTGCATGCATCACTATCCATACCACGACTGGAACTTTGTAGAGCATTATTATTAGCTTAAACCTTAAATCGAGTCAAAACTTTACTCATGTCTGAAATTTCCATCTCACGAGTACTTGCTTGGACTAATTCTAAAGTTGTCTTATCGTGGTTGACTTTTCCTCAAAAAACTTTTAAAATTTTTGTGACAAATTGAATTGCAAAAATACATTCTCTCCTCCCAGACTATGAGTAAGCCTACGTAAACACAAGGGAAAATCCAGCCGATCCTGCATCCCGAGGTCTTCTTCCTGCTGCAACAGTTGCCTGTAAAATACACAGAGAAGGACCGGACTTTCTTCGTTTTTCAGATGCTCAATGACCCAAATACGATTTCATTCCAATTACTCCTGAGAAATTGCTCGAATTTCAGCCTCCATCTGTCTTCATAAGTACCATAACTTGCACCAAACCACAAGATGACATTTTACAACATTTCTCGTCCTTTACTTGTATGCAATGGACATTAGCGTACATTCGACGTCTTGCTATCAAGGCCCATCATCAACCAATTCCAGATGGTCCCTTGAAACAAGGGGAGTTACATCATATTCTTATTCACGCAGTTTTGATTACACAAGCCAGATACTTTCCGGAACTCATAGGTCAATTAATAAAAACAGATGGTATTTTAAGGCCAAGCACCATAGCTCAATTAGCCCCATTTATCGACCCACTTGGAGTGATTCGGTAGGGTGGTCAACTTCGTTATGCTTTTTTGGATTCAGATATCAAACAACCTATCTTATTACCGAAAAGGTCTCACTTGACCCATTCGACATTTCTACCAAAGATTCTTACATGCCGGTCCTAAACTTGTCTTATAAATGATCAGAAGAAAGTTTTGGATTCTGTCCGATAGAGATGCGGTTCGCCAATTTATCTTTTCTTGTGTAACTTGTGTTCGTTTTAAGGCATGTCGTCCACACCCAATCATCGAAAATTTGCCATCATCGCGTATCCAACAAAACAGGTCTTTTTCGCAGGTTGGTATGGACTATGGTGGTCCGTTTTTAGTCAAGGAGAGTCGCCGCCTTAATGCACGCACAAATAAAATGTATTTAGCTCTAATTATATGTATGTCGGTTAAAACAGTTCATTTGGAAATTGTGTTGGACATGTCATCCACTGCATTTTTAACTGCATTCGATCGATTTTTAGCTCGTCGTGGTGTACCGTCCAATATATACACAGATTGCGGTACTAATTATGTGGGAGCGGTAAAACAACTAAAGGCGTTATTTCAGGATAATCAAACTCAGACGAATGTTTCTACGCATATACCTTGTCAATGGCATTTCAATCCTCCTGCAGCTCCACACTTTGGTGGATTCTGGGAGGCAGCTATAAAGAGTGTCTAACATCATATGAAGCATGCGATTGGAAATCAAATCCTAACACACGAAGAATTGTTAACATTAGTGACTCGCATAGAAGGGATTTTGAATACAAGACCTCTAACCCCACTCTCATCTGACTCTAATAATACATGTGCTTTGACTCCCGGCCATTTTCTAATAGGTTAACATACCATGGCTGTGCCCGAACTTGATGTTATTTCATTACCTGTCATCGCGGCGCTGTCTGGAGACAGGTCAAACTTTTAATTATCTTTAAAAAAATAAAATATATTTGTTCTGTGCGCCCATTAAGGACATTTACTTTGTATATTATACGTTTTTCCTCCCCCCCCTTTCGCGTGCACAAACTCATTTAACCTAAATGAACATTTAAACAATTCAATGAACGAAATTATTAAATTTTTAAGAAATTCTCTTCTTCAAAGTATACATTTTTTACTCATAAAAATATTGCATACATGTAAACAAGTAAACATGTTCTGCGAGTTAAAAAAAAGTGAATAGCATGTCTACAAAAAAATTGCCCATGCAGTGAATAGTAATTAGGGATTTGAACCTATAGGTTTTTTCGGTTCCGGTTTCGATTTCGGTTTCGGTTTTTTAAAAGAGTAAGGGTTCTAGAACCGGTTTCAATTCGATTAAATTCAATGAAGGAAATACATCAGGAAAACTATTATACTTATTTGAAAATAATTATATTAAATAATTTTTAAATTTATGTGCGATCTACATATTATAATATAACATATTATTTTATTCAGATTAAAAATACTTTCAAAACAGTATATTGAAATAACATATAACGTATGTTATTTATAGTTCAATATGTATTTTACACAATACTGTGTGTATTGTATATAATAAAAATATTACGAAACTTCGTATTTGTAATACTAACAAAATATTTAATTATTTCTAATTTTAAAGTCTTTACTCAACTATATGTCTGTTTATTAAATATGCTGATATGAATAGACACAAGATATACGGAATAGTTGAGCTAAGAAACTAATATCATAAAATTAAAATAAAAATATATACCTATAACAAGTCTTTAAGGATTTTAAATTAAAGTAATAAAATAATGAAAAACTCTAGTGACTGAATTTTCTAAATTTAATTGATAATAGGTATCATAGTTTTATAATTAAATTTATCATTTTTTTCCAGCTTGATGTAATTTGGTAAAAAAATATAATCTATATTATGCATTTTATTTTGTAGGTTTATAATTCATGTAACTAGTGATTAATTTACAGTTATACTATTACTAATATTACTGTGTTATACTTTTTATGTTATTTTTTAAATATTTCAATGCACCAAATTATTGAAAAAATCATAAGTTTTTGTATAAATTAAAAACCTTTTAAAAACTACTATAAAAATTGATGCAACATCTAGGTCGGATAAGATACCACAGTCAGGTGAGATACAGGGAAAGGTGAATAGTTTTGATGTACTGGTTTTTAAACATAAAGCCAATAGACCATTTCTTTAGATAAAACCTTTTTAAGTAAAATAGGTTGGATGAGTTAAACTTTTTATGCTTACACTTTAATAAAAAATTAGAATTTTAAAATTTAGGAATATCGAAAATTCTAAATGCCTATAAAGAGTAAGTATGTCATTACAATAATTTTTAAATATAAAATTTCTTTAACTTAATAACTATAATATTGTATAATGGATACATAATATTCATATTATACACGTATTATATATATATACAGTGTGTTCCCGTTAAAAGGTACCATTAAATATTTCAGTTTAATGACCTTGTATTGAAATGGGGTTTTCGGGGTATAAAAAGGAGTACCAAAATACACAATTTCAACCAAATTTCAAATTTTTGACTAAGACGGTACGCACAAGCGCAATACAACTTACATTTTTTAAAAGGTAACACCATTTTTTTCCTATATATTCGAGCAGAGCATTTTTTTAAAACAACATTGGTGAATAAGTTTTTTACTAATTAAAAAAATGCAAATTTATAGTGTGTCGATGTTTAATATTTACGAATATTCTATCTTGATGAACTTTTAATTATGTTCAATTTAATACTTGAAAATCAAAATTAAATATCAGATATTGTTAAATATCTGTTTGTATGTTTGTAGTCAAGAAGAACACTCTGTATAAACGACTCAATTAGTAGCTTAGATATTATAATATTTAGTGAAACTTGGAACAGCACAGGGTTTGTCCCACATGATATAACAGGTTTTTCGAGCTTTAAAAGTGTAAATAACTTTAACCTAAATGATGGAGTTCTTATCTATATAAATAATAATCTTCACGGTGTATCTGTTGAACAACAACCATTATTCTCTGAGGCCAGTTGTTTAAAAATAAATCTAAAAGCAAATAATAAACAAATTATGATACTAGCCACATACCGTTCTCCAAAATCTAATATAAACATTTTTCTATCTGAACTGAATACTTTACTTACATCAGGTGTCTTACAAAATAATTGTGTATGGATTGGAGATATAAATATTGACATATTAGAATTAAATACGTCTATAAGTACCGAAAAATATTTAAATACATTATCGTCAAATAGATTTATCTCTCAAATTTGTACGTACACTAGGGAGGTAAATGAAACCAAATCCTGTATTGATCACTTATTTAGTAGAGATGTGCATCTTCATAGTGTTGTAATTAAAACCAGTATAACGGATCATTACACAATCATAGGTAGTTTAATGATATCGCCGAATAATAAAAAACATAATATAGATAGTAGAACTAATAATACTGCATCATATATAAACTATAATAAAGTAGTTCAATTGTTATCTATTTACGAATGGACACATTCCTAATACTATAAATAACTGATAGTCTCAAAAAATCATACGAGTACAAAAAATCGCAAGCTAAAACCATGGATAACTAATGGTCTTGTAATATCTATCAAAAAAAATAGAGATAAACTTAATATGCAAACTAAGAGGGATAAAACAAATCTTAAATTATTAAATTATTATAGAGCATATAGAAATAAACTAACAATATTAATTCGGAAGGCAAAAGAACAATTTTATATAAATAAAATAGAAATATGTAAAGGTAATGGAAGAGAAATCTGGAAAGTAATTAATGAACTAACATCTAGAAAAGAAATCTCGCCTAAGCTTCCAATTAACGATATAATTGAGAATAAGTACCCAACATCATCGCCAAAAGATTACTTAAATATAGTTAACTCATATTATGCAACAACTGGTAAAAGATTAGTAGAAAAAAATTTCTCCAGTATTGTAAATAACATACAGTGTAACTTGGGAACAAAAATTAATAATATATCAAATAAAAGAATAATATTTAAATTAAAAACTATTGGTAGTAATGAAGTCATAAATATATAAAATAAATTAAATAACAACTCAGCACCAGGTCCTGATGGTTATACAGCTCTTTTTATCAAACAAATTGGAGACAATGTGATCCCACCTATCGTTCATATAATTAATTGTAGTATAGTCAACGGTATAGTACCCGATGAATTGAAAATGGCTAAAATTGTACCAATACATAAAAACGGAGATAAAACTGATTTTTTAAATTATAGACCCATCTCATTAGTTGGTATTATTGCCAAAATCCTTGAAAAAATAATAAAAAAAATAACTCTTAGAATACCTAG